TTTGGGAGGCCGAGGCGGGCAGATCACGAGGTCAGGAGATCTAGACCATCCTGGCTAACACGGTGAAACCCTGTCTCCATTAAAAATACAAAAAATTAGCTGGGCCTCATGGTGGGTGCCTGTACTCCCAGCTACTCGGGAGGCTAAGGCAGGAGAATGGCGTGAACCTGGGAGGTGGAGCTTGCGGTGAGCGGAGATCACACCATTACACTCCAAGCTGGGCGACAAAGCGAGACTCCATCTCAAAAAAAAAAAAAACAAAAAGTGTTCTCGGTTGGGTGAAGTGGCTCACCCCTATAATTCTAACACTGTGAGAGGCTGAGATGGGAGGATCACTTGATACCAGGAATTCGAGACCAGTGTGGGCAACATAGCAACATAGTGAGACCCCATCTCCACAAAAAATAAAATATTAGCCAGAAGGCTGAGGCAGGAGGATTGCTTGAACCCAAGAGTTTGTAGCTGCAGTGAGCTATGCTTATGGCAGTGCACTTCAGCCTGGGCAGTGGAGTGAGACTTTGACTCAAAAAAAAAAAAGGTGTTCTAACTACAAGTCCTTTTTGCAAATGTTTACTCTAGTTGGTGGATTTTACTTCTCTTAGCAGTATCTTTCACAGAGCAAAAGTTTTAAATTTTGATAATATTCAGTTTATCCTTTTTTTTTTTTTTTTTAAATGAAGTGGGCTTTTGGTATTGTGTCTGAGAAATCTTTGCCCAGCCCAATGCCACAAAGATTTTTCTCCTAGAAATTTTATATTTTTACATTTTAAAACAGAGGTCGGCAGTTTTTTTGTGTGTGAAGAGCCAGATGGTAAATATTCTCAGCTTTTTCGGCCATACGGTTGCTACTACTTAACTCTGTTATTGTGGTACAAAACTATCTATAGACAGACAATACATAAACAAATGAGACAGGCCGTGTTCCAATAAAACTTTATTTATAACAACAGGCAGTGGGCCAGATTTGTCCCACAGGCCATGATGTGTGTTTCAGAAAGTCCAATTTTCCCAGGCCTAGAGGATACCACACTGTGGACAGTAAGCCTGGGGCAGCCATTGTCCATCTCACCGTCCATGAAAACAGAATGAGGGAAAAAGCAGAGTATATGTGTAACTCTCAGAGAAAGGGCGAGGAGAAGGAAGGGTAAAAGAAGAAAGAAGGGGAAATGCTTGAATCACATTTTGAACATGCTTCAGTGTGCATTTTAATTCTTCAGAGTTAACCCTTGTGGTCTGTTTGGATCAGCTTCCAGCAAATGTTTTTGTCTGTTTGTTTGTTTTTGAGCCAGTGATCTATTTTAAAATCTCATGGCCACAGATGGTGTAACAGACACGTGTAGTTTCTCATGATTAAACTCTGTAGGTCCCGAGCTGCTACTGAAAGTTGATATTTACCCATTCCCTATTAACGAATATTTGGAATTCTATCCAGTTTTACACTCTTATGAACCATCAGTTAGTGCCTGCCTTGCACTTTTGTTTCATTTTGTTTTCAGACAGGGTCTTGCTCTGTTGCCCAGGCTGGAGTGCAGTGGCGCCATCATGGCTCAGGCAGCCTTGATCTCCTGGACTCAAGCAATCCTCCCTGCCTTTGTCTCCCGAGTAGCTGAAACTATGGGCACGGGTCACCATGCCCACTAAATTATTTTATTTTTTGTTAGAGTCAGGGTCTCACATTGTTGTCCAGACTGGTCTTGAACTCCTGCACTTGAGTGATTATTTCTGTAGAAAGATCCTGCAGTTGTGAGTCAGGTTATACCATCTCATACTCAGATCAGTAGCAGGTGATCTTACGCTGGATTTTATTCCATGTGACTGGCAGAAAGTAGCATCTGGTTTTCTTTTGCATTTTCCTCATTGTTCATGAAGACGAAGTTCAGTGTCTTTTTCTGGACTTATGAGCCATTTGAATTTCAGGCCTTTATTATAAATTGCCGCTCACATCCTTTGCCTACTTCGCTCTTGTTTACATCTCTTCTTTTTTTTTTTTTTTTTTTTTTTTTTTTGAGACGGAGTCTCGCTCTGTCGCCCAGGCTGGAGTGCAGTGGCCGTACATCTCTTCTTTTATCCCTTACCAATTTGTAGATGTTCCGAATCAAGTTTTCCCAACCTTGGCAGCACTAACATTTGGGGTCAGATAATTCTTGGTTGTGGGGCTGTCCTGTGCCCTGAAGGATGCTTTACAGCTCTCTGACCTCTACCCACCAGATGTCAGTAGCACCCCCCACCGCCGACCCCTGGCCCTGACCAAGTCACAGTAACCAAAAATGTCTCCAGACATTGCCCAGTGTCCCCTGGGGGGGCAGAATGGCCCGGGGTGAAAACCATGGGTCTAAATAATAGAATATGCAGTGAATCTTTTCTCCAGGCTACTCCTCCTCGTCTAGGTCTATGATGCCTTTTGCTGTACAGAAGTTTTTAATTTCATGGAGTCTCACTTTTCAGTCTCTTTTTCTATGGCTTTTGATGCTAACCTACTTTTTAAAGAGCGGGGAGCATGGGACATCCTCAAATAAAAGAAATGCTAGGAAATTGTACTGATTTTGCTCATTGTCTGAGAGTAGTAGGAGGGTAGGGAAGACCTGGATGTTTCCACCAGGAAGAAAGAAACCAGACCTAATTCTTCCCTCAGCGTTGATTCAGGGAGTAGGTAGGAAATCTCCACATGAGAAGTGTGTTCAGATTTTTATGTAACTGCTGGCAAGGCTATTTTTAAAGAAGGCCAAAGGCGCGTGACCGTGGGCACTGGGTGTTCAAACATAGCATAGAATTGAGCAACAGGGATCTGGGGAAAGTGGTGGGCTCTCACCGAGACCTCCAGGCGGGTGGCCATCCTCAGGGTTGACTACCTGCGTGTTTAGAGGCAGGGATTGAGGGGCCTCTGAGAAGCGAGCCCAGCATGTGGCGCACTTTCAGCAGGGCGGGCTCGGCATGCTTGGCCACATTGATCTGGACTCTTCTCCAAAGTCACCACTGGCTCTGATGTTTATCACTGAAAGGAAAGACTTCAGCAACTGAGAAAGACTTTTCAAAGCCTGCAAACTGTGAAGACCAAGTTCTCTGACTGGTAGAGAAACCCTCACCTCCTTCCAGCTCAGTCACTGCATCTTTGGGAATAAACAGATGCAGAGGACCATTGCCTGCCCGCCCCTCAGCAGCAGAGTGTCCAGGGATGGGATTCAGGGACACCCCACAGGCTCTGGACATGGGGAGAAAAGCAACTAGAAATCTGGAATGCTCTTGAGAGACAACCCAAAGGCCTTCTTACAGGATCTTAAATTGTGCTGGAATTGTTCGTAGGTCTCTTCAAAGCCCTCTTAGTGAACTTGGAGTTGTTCTGTTTTGTGTCCATAGACTATTTTTTAGAGCAGTTTTAGGTTTGCAGGAAAATTGTGAAGTGGAGAACACTCGTTCCGTAGCGTTACAATGAAGTATTGACTGAATAAAATTTTTTTAAAATAGAAGCCGGACACAGTGGCTCATGCCCGTAATTGTAGCACTTTGGGAGGGTGAGACGGAAGGATTACTTGAGGCCAGGAGTTCAAAATTAACCTGGGCAAGATACCATCTCTACAAAAAGTGTTAAAAATTAGCTGGGCATGGTGGCGCATACCTGTATTCCCAACTACTCAGGAGGCTGAGGTGAGAGGATTGCTTAAGTATCTCCCAGGAGTTCAAGGCTGCGGTGAGCTGTGATGGCCCCACCACACCCATTATTAGCATCTCACATTCACATGATACCTCTGTTATTCTTAGTGAATCAATATTGACACATTATTAGTAACTAAAGCCCATAATTCAGATTAGAGTTCACTGTGTATATTGTTCATTCTATGGGTTTTGACAAACATGTATTGTCACATCCACCATTATGTATCATGCAAAATAGTTTCACTGCCCTAAAACCCTGACAATCCTGTGTTCCACTATTTGTTGTCCCCCCCACCCCTGACCTGCATCCCTGGCAACCACTGATCTTTTTCTCTGTAGTGTGCCTTTTCCAGAAGGTCATAGAGTTGGAATCATACAGTATACTGTGTTCCTTCACTTAACAATATACATTTAAAGTTCCTTTAAATGTCTTACCTGGCTTAATAGCTCATTTCTTTTTATCATCAAAGAGTGTGCCTGTGTACAGCTGAACCACACGAATGAAGTCTGTTTATTCATTCACCCATTGGAGGAGATCCTGGTTGCTTCCAGGTTTTGGCAATTATGAGTGAAGCCGCTGTAAACCTCCACATGCAGATTTTTATGTGGCTGTAAGTTAACGTGCAGTGTAGAAAAGAATCTCTTAAGTGCAGGGCCAGAACCAGGGGCTCACGCCTCTAATCCCAGCACTTTGGGAGGCTGAGGTGGATGGATAATCTGAGGTCAGGGGTTCGAGACCAGCCTGGCCAACACAACGAAACCCCATCTCTACTAAAAATACAAAAATTAGCTGGGCATTGTGGCAGACGCCTGTAATCCCAGCTACCCAGGAGGCTGAGGTAGGAGAATCACTTGAACCTGGGATGCAGAGGTTGCAGTAAGCCGAGATTGTGCCACTGCACTCCAGCCTGGGTGACGGAGTGAGACTCTGTCTCAAAAATAAACAAAAAGAAAGAAAGAAAAATTTTTTTTTTTTTTTTTTTGAGACGGAGTCTCGCTCTGTCGCCCAGGCTGGAGTGCAGTGGTGCGATCTCGGCTCACTGCAAGCTCCGCCTCCTGGGTTTACGCCATTCTCCTGCCTCAGCCTCCTGAGTAGCTGGGACTACAGGCGCCCGCCACCGCGCCCGGCTAATTTTTTGTATTTTTAGTAGAGACGGGGTTTCACCGTGGTCTCGATCTCCTGACCTTGTGACCCGCCCGCCTCGGCCTCCCAAAGTGCTGGGATTACAGGCGTGAGCCACCGCGCCCGGCTTAAGAAAAATGTTTAAGTGCAAATGCAGTTTCTAGTTTAGCCTTCATATACTGCAGTATGAACATTTTGAGTTTACTTGCTCTTTTTTCCTTTGTAGATTTTTGAAAAATACAATGTCTAATGGTTATGAAGACCACATGGCCGAAGACTGCAGGGGTGACATCGGGAGAACGAATTTGATCGTCAACTACCTCCCTCAGAACATGACCCAGGATGAGTTGCGCAGCCTGTTCAGCAGCATTGGCGAAGTGGAATCTGCAAAACTCATTCGGGATAAAGTAGCAGGTAAACATATGGAGGCGTTTTAGTAATTTAGTATTGGTGGCCATCCGGTGGGCATTGTCTCTTCTGCCTGTGACTCTGGCATTCCTCAGTGCAGGATGACTACAGCCTTGAAACGATATCTGTGGAGTTTCATTTTTATTTCAAACTCCATTTGTCCATTGCTCTTGTATAAGATCAGACATAAGTTCCCAAAAGAGGAAAAATTCATTGTAAGACAGAGAGCGTGTACAAAATAAGACATTGCGAGGAGAGGAAGGAACCAGAGACAGGGCATTCTGAGAACTGGAAGGGGCCGGAGAACCACAGCCTGACCTGGCTTGGCCTGGGCAGGTCAATTGTGTCCGATGTGTGGAAGGGACCCCGGCGAGTGTACTGTCCAGGGCAGGCGCAGGCAGGCCCGCCCCTGTCTGTCCAGGCCCCCACGTTTGGTCAGGCCCAGTTCAGCAGAACACCGACGACCTCGTGGACAGCCCTTCATTATGTTTGGGCTGCTCTGTTTACTGTCAACGCCATCAACTTGAACTTCTGCACCATGCTGAGCTTGAACTCTCAGAGGGGCAGGTTCCTGGCAGCTGAAAGCCCTGATGTTCCACTCCCTCACAGTGGGACTTCTAAGCCTCTGTGTCCCCATCCGGAATGTGGAGATTGTGGCTCCTACATCCTGGTGGTCCCTACCTCATAGGTGTTTGCAGAGGGCCTGGCACCTGTGAAGGCCCTCCTTACAGAGTGGCCTCCATTCTGAGAGTGTGGCTTCAAGGACTCTGGAGAGAATTACGGACAGACCATATGTGGAGCTGTCCTCCTCCTCCTCTCCCAGTGCCCCCTCTTCCTCCTCCTCCCTCTACCCGCCACCACCCCCCTGCCTTCCTTTCTGTCTCCACCCTGCTTTTAGGAAGCCAAGGAGTGGCCATTCCTCTCCGGGCTGTGGCTGCTACTCTGGATTTGGGGACTGTGATTCCCTATACTGAAAACTCATTTCAGGCCGGGCATGGTGACTCACACCTGTAATCCCAGCACTTTGGGAGGTCGAGGTGGGAGGATCACTTGCTCAGGAGTTCAAGACCAGCCTGGGCAACATGGTGAAACCCCATTTCTACAAAAAATACAAAAACTTAGCTAGGCGTGGTGGCCCGCATTTGTGGTCCTGGCTACTTGGGGGGCTGAGGCAGGAGGATTGCTTGAGTCTGGGGGGTTGAGGTTGCAGTGAGCCGAGATTGCACCTTACTAAGTACCACTTGGTACTAAAGTGTCTTCTAGACTTGAGCGTGGGCAACATAGTAAGACTTCGTCTCAAAAAAAAAAAAAAGAGAGAGAGAACTAATTTAAAAGTTAAACGCTGGGCACAGTGGCTCATGCCTGTAATCTCAGCACTTTGGGAGGCCAAGGCAGGCAGATCACCTGAGGTCAGGAGTTTGAGACCAGCCTGGTCAACATGGAAAAACCTCATCTCTACTAAAATACAAAAGTTAGCCAAGCATGGTGGCGCATGCCTGTGATCCCAGCTACTCGGGAGGCTGAAGCAGGAGAATCACTTGAACCTGGGAGGCGGAGGTTGTGGTGAGCTGAGATTGCGCCAGTGCACTTCAGTCTGGGCAACAGAGTGAGACTCTGTCTTAAAAATTAAATGAAAGTTAAAAAAAGTTTCTATTATGAAACGTTTCAAGCATACATGAACATAGAGCGATGTGTTGGACCTAATGTGCCCATCGATGCACTTTATCTCCAACAGTTCCCCAGTAACCATAAGACACCTGACCCCCCAGTGACTCCCAAAGAGCCTGTCTGGCGGCTGTACAGGGAATTCAGATGCGGGCACTGAATACAAAAGCCTTCTCTCCTTCCAACTCCAAGAGTCTGATTTAATAAACGCCTTCTCAATAGGGATTTTACGCAGTATACAAACTTAAGCAGTGTTAGAATGTTCTAGAAGCCAGCATCTCTCTCCTGCTCCAGGAGACCATCCTGAATAAGAGAAGGGTTTAAAAATTCTCCTGTGCCACTAACAAGTCTCACCTTTTTCCTCTGACTTTCTGGTGGAAGGGAATTTTCTTTGATATTCCTGAGCACTGGAGATTTTGCAAGCATTCCCACGGAATTTGCAGTCGTTCTCCTGGAACCTGACTTCTTTGTCTATTCCCTTGTGGTTTTCACAGGAATGTGAGCTATGCTAATAGGAACACCTAGATTTGGCTCAGTCTGGAGAAAACTGGTTTTGAGAATCAGTGAAGTCTGCAAAAGTGTAATTTGGAAATTATTTCAGTTCAGAGGTGAGCTCTGTCTTATCTTTGGACAGTAGTTAGTAACTGGCACACCAGGAGTTGTGGAGTGTCTGGGCCTGGGCTTTCATCTTGGCCCAGCCTCTTGCTAGCAGCTCTTCAAGTGACTGGAGCTTTATGGAGAACATGCTGCAACCTGGCTTTGCTGAGCCTGCCGCCAATGTGGGCAAACCTCTGCTGGCGGGGCCCAGGGCGTGGCCCTAGGTCTCACCACCCCTCTTCCCAGCCAACTGCTTTCTCCAGCCCCCCAGGATAGCCTCTCACCCGGCCAGGCAAGCACCCCGGCAAATCTGATGCCTGGTCTAGCTTATCTTACAACACGGGTGTCCCGGAGTCCCACAGGAGCCATTTCCCTGTGTTTACCCTCCTCAGGCCTCCAGCCACCCACTTCACCCTCAGCGGATGACACCTCCCACTTCGCAGTGGAACTGACAGCATTTCCAGCTCTCCAACTCCAATCCTTCCTACCCTTCCCTTCCCTTCCCTTCCCGGCTTCCCAAGAGCCTCAGGCTCTCCAAGTGCCCACTTTTCCTGGGCTTCGAGTGTCTTGAAAGGAATCCTTCCAGATTCCCAGCTTCCTCTAGCTTGGAGTTCCTCCATGTCCATGCTCCTGACGTCGGGACTGGACACCATGCTGGACGCTGCAGGTGTTGAGCAGCATCCTGGCCTCCACCCATGTGGTCCCAGCAGTGACTTCCCAGTGGTGAAACCCAATAATGTCCTTACATTGCCGCATGTCCCCTGGGAGGCAGTCTCCCCGAGTGAGAGCCACTGCTGTGTGTGTTGGCCTCCCACCCACATACTGTCCTGTTCCCTGTCTCTTCCTTCCAGAAGCATCTTCTCCCATTGGCTTTCAGGTGCACCACCTCCTCCCACCTGTCTGACTGCCCCTGAGGCTGTCTGTCTTTAGCACCTTTCCCCAGCCTTTGACTCAGCCGGTTATGCCAGAGGTTTATGCTCAGAGGATTATGCCAGAGGGTTATGCCATTGTCCTCTTCCTTTTTTTTTTTTTTTTTTTTTTGAGACGGAGTCTTGCTCTGTCGCCCAGGCTGGGGTGCAGTGGCCGGATCTCAGCTCACTGCAAGCTCCACCTCCCAGGTTTACGCCATTCTCCTGCCTCAGCCTCCTGAGTAGCTGGGACTACAGGCGCCCACCACCTCGCCCGGCTAGTTTTTTGTATTTTTTAGTAGAGATGGGGTTTCACCATGTTAGCCAGGATGGTCTCGATCTCCTGACCTCGTGATCCACCCGTCTCGGCCTCCCAAAGTGCTGGGATTACAGGCTTGAGCCACCGCGCCCGGCCTGTCCTCTTCTTCCAAAGCCAACATTCAGCATGGGCAGAGTCACTCCATGGTTCCCAGCTGCCCTTTGTCTACCACCTCCTTTTTGACCAGAAAGCTGTCCTGAGCTCCAGGTGCCCTTGGCCCCTCAAATGCAGTATATTCCAAACTGACCTGAGTCTCCCTAAAGCCAGCTGCTCGTTTCCAGTTGTCCCCACCTTAGCCGATGGCACCACCATCCACTTGGTAGCTCTGCTCAGAAATCTGGGAGTGTCCTTGGCTCTTGTCCTCCTGGGTGTTTCTTCAGTCCATCCCTTTCCCCTCTCTCCTCAGCCACCATTCTAGCCCAGGACACCACTGTCTGTGGCCCGTGCGTCGTTTTGGCCTCTTAACTGGCCCCCTGTGCTCCCTGAAGACCGCTCTCCTCACTGCAGCAGAGGGGCCTGTTTGACAGCCCGCATGTGTCCCTGTCACTCCCCTCCTCAAACCATTCACGTCCTGGCCCTGTTTGCTTAAGGAGGCCTCCCCTGGCCCAAGTGTCGGATGCTCCGCTGTGGGTTCCCATGGCACCTGGGCCAACCTGCACTGTGGGGTTTCCACCCGGCACTGAGCTGGAGCTTTCTGGTCCAGCACATCGGTATTGCTCCTGGAGGCAGGAGCTTTGTCTCTGTAGCCCTAGACATAGCCAGTCGGTGTTTGCGGAGTGAAGGAAGGAATGAATGAATGAGTGGTACTGGGCAGGAGGAGAGTGCAGATCATCATTCAGCAAATCCTGGTTGAGTGCCAGCCATGGGCTGGGCACTGGTGGCAGGAGGAAGGAGGGGCGTGGTGATGGCTGGGAGGAAGGGACTGCCCCATGTGCCGCCCTCAAGACTCGGATTGTTTCTGGCTGGCCTGGCCCTGGTCCCTATGTTGGGGATATGGTGTTGGTTGGTTGTTGGCTGTTCCACCTACAAACACCAGCTAAGGAGGCCACTGCAGCACCCAGTGGTTCTGCCCGCTGCCTTCCTGGGCAGCCCTGCCCTGGTGTCTGGTCTCTCCACGGTGGCCCCATATGTCCCTCGGGAGATCAGAAGGAATGAGCCTGCCACCCTCATGGACGGCCTGTCATGCTGGAGCCACCAGGCTGCAGCCCCGTTCACGGCTTCTGTCTTGCTGTGTATCTCTGGTCGGGTTAAAGTCCTCATCCCTGCCTGGGGCTCCCAAGAGCCCTCGGCGCTTGCCCCCTCTTCCCGCTTGCTGCACCCCCCGCACTCCTCCAGTCAGGCCCTATTCTTAGGCACTCTGATTCTCTGAACACTGTTCCCTCTGCAGGAATGCCCTTCCGGGCTTTCCCAGCCTTACGGCTTTTTTCTTAATATGAGTCATGTTTGCTTCTCACAGAAAAAAACTTAAGCATGAGCCAAGCAAAAAAAAAATCACCTACAATGACACTGCTGTTAGC